AAAAAAAACAAGATATCAAAAACTTTGAACTTGTTTTTCTCGACCCGAAAAAAAATTATTTAAAAAAACTGATACCAATCATGAAACAATGATACATAATGGACACATTCTGATAATTATTTTTGATGCCTGACTTTGCCTGGAAATCAAAAAAAAAAACTTAAACAATTCCGAAGTTAAAAGCGCTCCCCATACGAATACTGCCTCAGTAGATTTGACCCCCAACACGTCGGCATCGAAGAAAAGTCACCTAACGAGGCCCCGCCAACAATGTCCGGCACCCAATCAGAAGCTAACCACGAACTTACTGTGGCAAGTGTCCTCGAAACAACAGACAGAGCCACCGCAACGGAGACAGAGGAAGACACATCACTCTACCGGAAGAAACTACAACAAGCCATTGGGGTCAAATTTATAGCCGCGGCCACTCGCAGGGACAGAAACAGCAAACCAATAGCCAACTTCGAACAGAAACGGGACTGGGAGGCGCTGAAACTAGCTTATGGCGATTATTGGAACAATGTACGAAACCGATTGTACGTCAAGGACGACTTATAGACAACCGGATCAAAATCACGCTGCAATTGCGTCAAGCATCCTCGACAGCTTACATGTGACCCATCGGGGAGCGGCGGCAATGCTCGACTTGTGCGAAAAAACCTTGTTCCTACAAATCGACCGCATAACCTTCAAAATGGCTCAAAATTGCCAATAATACACAGAGCAAGGTGAAAATTTGAAACCTGCAATCGAAAAATTACTTTCCATCGAATTGGAACCGGTAGTAGAACCCAATGAGGAAGTCCAATTAGACTCTGCCGGGCACCTCCCGGACAATTTAAACAAAGGCGCATACATTTTAGTCGCGCTAAACAAACAGTAAAAATTTCCTACAGCTAAGAAGGTCCAAATACGACAGCAATTATTGCAAAAAAAATTATGCAGAGATAAATCTCAAACAAGGGGTACCCCGTAAGCGTAGTTTTGATCAAGCACAAACGCTTAGAGCTAAAAAAGTTCCAACTTTTGTTGTAAAACCAACAACATCAAACTCCTATTCGCACCAGTAGATGATCACAGATCCATAGGGGTCGTAGAACGCTTGATCTGAACACTGAAAAGCGGGTTGGGGTTATGCGAATAGATAGTAAATACACCCCACTCAAGTTAGCATTGAACGTAGCTGAAACCTTAAAAAACATAAAGAATAAAACCATAAAAAAGCAACAAAATTGTCTCCTTTTGAAGCTCACGTGGGCAGAAGCCCAATCCACCATTATCTAACTTAGCCACAACTAGCTCACAATATAACCTATACTGGGAAAATGCAACACACGGTTGTTTAGATCGGAAAAACCTGATGTATCCCCTACTCCAACCAGACATCATGCATGAGCTTCAAGGTTGGTCTGAAAGCGAGGTAAAGATAACACAACAACTAAAAAAGAACCTTTGAGAAACAGTCGGTATTGACACAAAAATTAAAGAACCTAAAACTTTCGAACAAAAAAAACAATAGATGGTAGGTTTTTAACTTGTACACTGCACACGGCCTGGAAACAAACTAAGGGAAAACAACCTTGTCTACTGATAAACAGTAGCTCCGCACATGTAACAAATCCGCAAATATATGGACGATGCGACATTTACGGCCACGTGATTCTGTGGCATACTAATCAGCTAGGAGAACAGGGCTATGCTTAGATTTCTTAGCCATCAAACAACCAAATGCACCTCAGCACGAAATGTTCCGGGAGGATGAGAAAATCGGACTACCAAAGAAGCTGACGCGGAAGGAGCATCAAACTAAGAACGACGCAGCGGCTGAAAAGCAATGAAAGGCAAAAACACAAACAGGAAAAAGGATGGGCAGAAAATAGGGAACACAGGCCATACTGCGGACAAAAAGGGAACCGAATTAGAGGCCTCGTCATCCACCGCCTCGAAAAACACGGAAAACACGGCATCCTCCCCGAAACGACAAGACACAAAATCAACACCGCCGCCGCAACCTGCAACAAGCGCAGAACCGACACGGATATCCACATGGAACCGACGAGCTACACTCACATCAACATTGGGAAACACGATCCCAATCAATACCATCGTTTCGCCTCGAAACTTCTCAGTTAAGTCCCTAGAACAACAAGCCACAGGCACAAAACAAATCACGGGCACCCCAGTCAACACGGTTAATCGAGAGTATCAAGAGTTTTTTTGTGACTCTTCGAAAAGACTCCCCAGAAATTGTAGCAGTCATAAAATTCCTGGAAATGATCAAGCCAAGGAGAAAGTACAGCGACACTATCAACTTCGGACAGCCCAACGAAAACTACACACAACGAAAACAACATAACAATAGAGGAAGCGAACGTCATGAGCATGAGAAATCCATGAGGGGGATGAAACCCAAACAGCGCCGCCGACAAAAACGAAGAACACAGAGATCACAACAACAACACTCACGGAGGCAGGTTTAAACTCACAGGACAAAAATCAACGAACAAAATGAGTCAGGGGCAATCTAGTCAGTGCCACAGGGACTATAAAATTCCAGTCACACGGGGACTATAAAACTCACAATTGGTCACACTGGGACGGTAAAACTCTGTTTTATTTTCACAAGGGGGAAAGGTCATCCGGCCGGATTGGCACAAACTATTATTAATTATTTATTTTTTTTCACATTCTTTATATAGTTAGTCAGAGACCAGATGAATGGTCTTAGCTGATAAGATAGACAACATGGCTGAGCGTTACTGTTCAGTTGGTCTTAATTCAGATTTATGTTCAGTTAATTTTCTCAACCAGAGTCGTTTAGATAAAACCAGCCGATCCGTTTGGATTCTATAAACGTTCATAGATTACGGTATAACAAGCCGAATAAAAAAAAACTCGAAAGTTTTTTTTCTTTTAGACTATTTGCTTGACAATTGAGAGGATAATTCGATTACGAGAAGTTGGTTTTCCGATCACTTTGAATAAACTGAAGAAAAAATTAATTGAACTTGTTATTAGTATCAATTATGACCATATGATCTTGAATTTGTACAAGCTTTCTTTGTAGAAACTCCTCTTCAACCTGAGGAAAGGTCTGACTTATTTTCAGAATAAATTTTATAGCAAATAGCAAAAAAAAGTTAAGCTTTTGTATTATCTTCGTTTTTGGTTGGCGAACTGTTTATCTAATTTACAACTTCTAAACTTCACTTACTGCTTAAAATTTTTGTTAATTACTTAATTGTAGTAAGGTTAATTCATCAAATCAATCTAAAACTCTGAATATATATTTTTTTTGAAAAAAAAAAAAAACAATTTATCAACTGCGTTCATGAATAACCAGTTGCTTACTTTTCTAATTATGACTTGTCTACAACACAGCAGTTGTGGTCTGAACATTGGGTGTAACAAACAAATATCCTCTCTGACATTTGTTTTGCTAGTTTGTTTCCTCTGTTTGCCATTAAATTTAGGTTCCGTTAGTACTATCTAAGCGGAGGGGTACTTTGCTCAGGTGTACTTGGCTGAGATTACCTTTATCAAGGCTGATGGGTTCGCTTTTATCTAAGCCGAGGGGTGAAGACGAAAAGCACGGAAAAGAAGACACAGACAACGAGTACGTGCTAATCGAACTGTTAACAATTTTCCCCTCAAGTTCTCCATTCTATACTTCTGACGACATACGATTTTCAAATGAAACAACAAACTTTGAGCCAGACGAAAACAGGGAAAATGTGCCACCTTCGAGTCAAAAAACCACCACGGGAGAGAAAGAAAAATTTGAAGCCGAATTAGACAAAGCAGTTATCCATTGGCCGGGAGGGGCAGAAATAAAATTTGATCAAAACAATGCTTTGATGGAATTCGTGAAAATTCAATACCCAGAGTGGAAAAAACCTGGGAACAAAATCTCAATTCCGTGTGTTAAAATTCCGCGCATTATGATAAGAAATGTAGATTTGAGCAAAGAACTGCAAACTTATTACAAATCGCTCGTGAAAGGAGAAGAAGGAGAAAATAAAATTTATAAACTGTTTACGAATGAAGTACTGACTGAAGACGCAGGAATTATTATTTTTCCAAATTTTGATGGAAGTCACCTTTTTGAAGAAGGGGGCCCTGGTAGCGTAGAAATTGACATGATTGTTGCTCACCCACAAAAAGGTTTGTTCATTTTTAATGTCAAAAACAAAACCATCAAAAAAGGAAAAGAAACTGAAAACTTGAAACAGGAAACGATGAAACACGCAAAATTCTTAGGCTTCTTATCATTGTATAGCACTCCTTGTGTAAACCTTTCTGATAACAGTTGTCTTCCACTCGTTCCCATTCATGCGGTTATTTGTTATATTCCCGGTGATAACACTTCCATAGCGAAACTGTCAGAGGATAGCACTTGGTATGCTAACGCAGAAAATGGTGCCACAAACAAAGTTTTAGTTTTTCAAAAAGCAAGTTTCAAAAACTTCGCTTCGGCTTGGAAAGATAGTTTGCAAGAAATTCCCGACATGACTGAAACATACCACTTTGACGTTTTGGTTGCCCGTCTTGTGGCACTGAATTCAATGGGAGGAGCCAGCTCACTTATCCATCAAAAGTTTGATTCAAATGAAATCCAGTCCATTCAGGTTGAAAAGAATAAACTGAATTCATGGATTGACAAACAATTCAGCGAAGTACTGACAGACCAAAAAGACGATAAACAAGATCTCATGTGCCGCGTAAAAGAGCAATGCCACAATACAAAGAGTAAGAAAACTCGGGTAATTCTCTGGACAAAAGAACAATTGGACATCATTGCTGCCGTTTTCGTATCACTTCAAAAGTCTTCAACGACAACACTGTTATCGAATGCGCCCAAACCGCTAAGAATAGAAATAAACGGGGCCAAGGGATCAGGAAAGACAATGCTGATCATCTACTTAGCGCAATTAGCTTGTCGTATCTTTGAAGAAAACGGCGATAAACAGTGCAAGGTAGTTATATGTGACGGTTCTCGTGGTAAAGCTCGAGTTCTTTTCTCAGAGCTGAAAAACAGTTTGGGTGGAGCAAGCATCGAATTTTGGAAACTAGAAAAACTATCTGAACTTCAAAGAGGTATCGTTTTCATTGACGAAGAGCTTACTACCTCCAGTCTTGTGAAATTATTCAAAAAAATAAATGGAAATGTTCATTTATGTTTTGCTTCGTCAAAGGAACCTGGAAATTTTGATTTTAGAGCCTGGAAGTTGCAGCATATTCAGGAATTCAAGCTCAAACAAACATTGAGATCCACAAAACAGCTGCACGCTTTTACAGAAAATATCTTTAGAAACATTGTTGGAAGCCACAAGCTAACCGAATTGTCGGGGAATCCACCGCATAGCTTAGATGGTACTAATAGAGCTGATATTGTATATATTGAGTCTGCAGGTTGTCTTAAAACTGAGGCTTTCATAGACAAATGCGTTGAGACAATAATGAGATATGTTTTCTTGTCGTACGAAATGCCGAGTATTCTTGTCATGATATCTTTTTTATCACCAAAAGCTCAGATATCAGTAGTTGCTCTTCTAAAAGAGAAAGGACTGACTTTACGGTCTAACTCTTACAATTTAGACCTCCAAGGCTGTCAGATTTTGCCAATAATTCAACTGGAGTCTACCGAGTTTATCAGGGGAAGTGAGTTTGGTACGGTTGTTCTTTTGCTGGAGAAAAATTTCAACGGACCAAATCTTGTGGAATTCGTTGATAGTTTCTTTATGGGAATAACGCGTGCGACAACAAACTTGGCAATAGTTGTAGGCGACATGTCTTACTTCGAATCGCCACTGGAAGCAAATGAGATTTCTGATTCAATTTCGAATCTGTACCGCGGCCTTCCATGCTCTTAAAACTGAAACTGAATAACTAATGAGTTTAATCAATTAGGATTCAATCGATATCACTATTAGAAAAAGGGTTCGTTACGTTTGTGGAAAAAACTTTTATTCGCCGTGTTAGTTTCTTTTTTGAAAGCTTTCACTGCAAAAATTCTTTTAGCGAGGGTAGACACTGGAGCTGGTTTTCCAAAAAAGTATGTCATCTGATTCAATGGCTTCAATGTAGATAAATTTTATCATTTACATGACACATGCAATTAAATCGTGTTATTTTCTGTAAACAACTAAAAAAACCAACCTTCAATTTTTGTCTTTCTCAAGCTTATTTGTGATTTTGGGCCTCTCTAATGTGCATTTTTCAATTGTAGCTCGGAGATTTCTACAATCATTGAAACTTAGCAATGTGTGTTAAAATATTAAAATAAAATGTAAATTTACAAAACAATCTTTGAAAATTTCATTTTTAACAAAGTCTCGGATATTTGACCAAAAATCGGGAATTTGTTAAAGCTTCCTAGTTTGAGATTTTCTCAGCTATTTTTTTCTTCGAAATTGGAAACAAACCAACTCAGTGGTTTTTATGTTGGTTTTATTTTTGTGTGAATACTTCTCTTTTTGTTTTCACCTGTACACTTGTTATCAAAGTTCACTGCTAAATTTTCTTATACTTATGTCAGTATTGCCACATAAGAATTTCATTTTTAAATTGGATTTCTGAAATTTGATTTAGTTCGATTCTCTTCACTAATTTTGTTGTTTAGTTTTATACATCTAGCTATGATTTGCTGAATTCGTCATCTTTTTTCGTAATAAACTGTAGGTAGCTGAGCGCAAATTGTGTGTGAATCGGAGCCGTTATTTCCTATTGTTAAAATTCTCTATTTTTCAAGTTTTTTTCCGGCTCTATTTAACGCCAAGTTTTCATTTTTATCATGGTCGAGATGATTCAAATTTTTTTGACAGGTTTTCTTATACTGCCGGTTTTTTTAAATAGTTGACATTCGATCAATTTCCTTTAAGTTTTCTTTACGTTCCTGTCGAACATATTACTTCTCATTATTCCTAAAACCGATGTTTGCAACTTAATGAAAAAGTTTTTCTCAGAATTACACCCTTAATTACTAGTTTTTCTCATAGCGATGTCTCAAAGTTTCATTATTATTTACCGAAGTTTGCTATGATTATATCAATCTGCAAAGTTGATGCATTGATGCGATGAGCCGGTCTGTAATGTTTTATCAACCCGGGTTGACCAAAAATGCTCGTCATACATTTTTTATGTATTTTCAAATAATCACTATGATAATTTCCATACGCACGGAAAGTTGTTAGAAAATTCCAAGACAAACATTTTTCAAATTTGAAAATTAAATAACCAATATTTTTCCAGCAATCAAAAGTTTATTACTTCTCAATCGCCTTTTTCTAAAAACTTTTTTGTGTACCCGAAAAGACAATGACCAAGTACTTTCTATTACAGGAGGCCCAATTGGTTGAGAGGAAAACTCTCACAGTTCCTTGGATTTGAGGAATAAATGTTTGAGATAAAATTTCATAGTTCACTCAGAGTTATTGAATATAACCTTAAGTTTTTTTATGTGGCAGGAAACTTTTTAGTCAAAAATTAAACTTGTAAGAAATGTGGCTTGATTTTTTAAACAAATTTAAAAAATCTCTTGTAATATAAAAGCAAACTATGTTTGGATTTGCACAATCATTAGTTCAGTTTTTTCTTTTGAAAGAAAAACTCACCCTTGACTTCATCATAAACAAATATAAATTTTTAGATGCAAATGTTTTGTCGGGAATTGTCGAGCATGAAAGTGATATTGTGACTTAAAATTTGTGAGAGTAGCCCCATTCACATAGTTTTTGGTTCGCTCATTTCTTTTTTTGCTTGTAGTGTGTAAAATGCAGAGTAGTTGTTAACCTAAGTATAAAAATAAATCGAAGGATCACTGTTCGTTTGATTGATCGCATGGAACGTCGCTCTACCTTTCAAGAAAAACAAGAAGTTTTCATATTGATGAAAACAGTTGTTCAAAATACATCACGGCGATGCTTGAGGACAACGAAATTTGTCAGCTGGACAAAATTGTTGTCGTTATTGGCAATGTGCCAAAATTGAATTGCTTGGGAGAGACTGAAGTTACGCAACGATACCTAAATTGGTGCTCAACGAACGAAGTTAAACAGTACACGTTCAAGGGAAATACAACAGTGCTAAATCTAACAAATAAAGCAAAAACAATTTCAGAGGAAGCATTAGACTGGTATAAACAGCAGCGCATTGCCGCGTTCATATTTGTTGTTGAACATAGATTCGACACGTTCAGTTTCCAATTATTGAATCGGTCAGTTTCTGGAGGCTCAAATGGCTGTTTTGTTATAGAACTTACTTATCTGACGGTTCCTTTAGTTGATATTACTCAATTCTGTAAAGGCCTTCAAAATCAAACAGATGCACTTTGCAAGGAATCTTTGGTGTTATGTCCTCAATTAGATCAGTACACTAAGAGAAGAACCGATGGTAACAAGTGTAACTTAAGCGAACTGAAAGAACTGTCAATAGTAATCAAAGCTCATGTGGATGCGCATCCCGAAGACTTTTTGTTTGGGATTAACCTAATGGAATGTTACTTAGAAGCATACGAGCTGCTTTTCCTTGAGTATTTCCAGTATGTGAAAGGTGGTGATCGAAAGCAAGCAGTAGTTAGAAGGCGAAAGGTCGCGGATATGCTGCAAAACTGTTCTAACTGCTTGCATAAGCAATTTGAAATACTTTTTCAAAAAGATATGTTCGATTACTTGTACCTTTGCGTCCACTACGCAAAATGGTCTCTTTGGCTGAATCCAGATCTCTCAAACTTGAACGAAACAATCATCGATATCTGCCAAAAATCAAAAGATAAACTGGAACAGGAAAAAATTAATGCCATTCGATCAAATGATCAAAGTCAGATTTTGGATTATGTAGTACCCGAGCACTGTCTTAACCTTATACGAGGATATCAAATTAGGAACTGGAACAACTTCAAATGCCGAATTGAAGCAGCTCAAAAACTTGACCTGATTGGAGGTCACCAGGTAGTTTTTTTGAGATTTTTCAAAATCTTAACCATTATTTTGTTTCTGTACACATTTGGTTTGGTTACAATGAGGAGAGCTCATGTTAATTTCTCTTCTTTTGTGTTTGAAACTCCATAAAAGATTTTTTCTGCGCTTCTAACCAAAAACTTCATTCATAATTTAAGAATTTCATGAAAAATTCTCAAGACCACTGTGAGTCAAATTATTCCATCGTTTTTGTGCTCAAATTACCAACTGACAAAAAAAATTGGCCTGTTCGCTTCGAAATAGAAAAAAATATTCTAATAATATTAAGTAAACTTTATTTCACCGTGTTTGTTAAAATATTTCGGTAACCAGCAAAAATTTTTGAAATTTAATTCATACTACTCGCGTGACCTCGCTGTGCGTATTGGTTACAAAAACAAGATTGTGTTTTACTGCGAAAGTTTTTTATTTTTTACTTAACCGGTCTTTTTTTTTGTATTTTTTTGTATTAGTGGATCATTGAATCAGCATTGCGTTCACCAAGTAACTTACAGTTCGGTTTTGTTTCAGAGTTCTGCTCATAATGTGTTAGCTCAACTGTCCCTTGAAAAGAAAAAAATTCAGGAATTACAGAACTTAGTCGAGACACTTACGAACGAATATCAAAACAAACTAAAGGAACCAAAATCTTTTTTAGCAGATAAACGAATTCAGGTTGCTGATAAATGTGCTGAAGCTGCACTCTGTTGCTTAGAGCAGACACTGGCCAAGTTCTTTCG